GTGCGATGCAATGACTAATCCTTATAGAACCCGACCCAAACCTAAATGTTCAAAACCTGATTTTGATGACAACAAAAGCAGCAAAGAAATTGACCTTTAGCTAGGTCCAATGTTAAGACAACTTGCACTGTGTATGACAGTAATGCAGAAGCATTTAGGCTGCTCCATGGAAAATGCTTTCTTTCAAGTTGATTTTAAATATTTTCTACTTTTTCAATCCATAATTCAGCCTTGCTTTAAATAGTTGGTTAACAAGTTATCAGAGGTGGTAATAGAGATAGGATTTGAAGAACTTCCTCACTTTTTAAGGCAAAGAAGTGATTCCAACATAATAGTATTAATAATAATAATAATAATAATAATAATATATTTTTATCATTCATTTACCATTTAGGCTCCTGTAGAACAGAAGCCTTCTGCTTATTTGCTGGGAATAGACCTCCTCCAGCCCACTCCCCTCAGCTGCCCCGTTCCTGGGCCTTTACATGCTGTGATTGCACAGAGCTCGTGGCCTAGGAGCTTCTCCCTATTTTTTGTCAGCTTCACTCTACTGTGCTATCAGCTGAAAAGTGGACTGTGTTGTAGAAATTGTTTGACACTACAAATTACAGGTAGCCACATGACAAAACATGAGCCTTACTAATGATCAAAGAAATGAAAATCAATATCAATGAGAAGTTTTTTTTCACTTAGTAATAAAACAGAAAAGATTGTAATAACCAGAGATGGGAAAGGTTCAGCAAGGCCAGCTGTCCTCTGAGCCACCTGAGGGAAGGTAAAGGGAAGTGGCTAATCTGAGGTTGGATTTGACAATGTGAATAAACATAATGCCCCTTCTCTGCTACTCATTCCTTTTCTAAGGATTCATTCTAAGTAATAATCTGACATACGATTAGTGTTTGTGAACAATAATTTTCTCAAAGTGCTTTCGAATGTAATCTACATAGATATCCAACAGTAGTTAAGTAAATCATGGATTTATGATAGAATACAAATCCATTAAAATTATGCACTTGAGGAATTTTTCATTACATTGGAAGAAGTAAAACAGAGTGGCTAACTGAATGGGCTTTATGGTCACACTCCTTGGGTTTGAATTCTTTTTCCCCTTACTTACAAGTTGTGTAATTTGGGAGAGTTGTTTAATCTCTCTGTGCCTCAGTTTCCTTATATATATAAAAGGGAGAAATAATGATGGTTATAGAGTTAATGAAAGAATTCATTTGGCATGCTTTGCAGAGTGCTTGACACAGCATAAATGCCCAATCAATGTTAAACAAATTAACTTTTGTGCCTCAGTTTTCTCCTTTGTAAAATATAAGTGAGAGTGGTCCTTCCTCAAAAGAGTGCTGGTGAAGCTTAAGTGAGTTTATGTCTACAACACACTTAGTATGAACCTAGCACATAGTAATAGCTAGGTAATTGTTGGTACTATAAGTGTTAAGAAATCTATATATATAAAGAGCCAGGGTTGTAACATCCAAAACAACCGAAGACTCGACCAAATGCCAGGCACAGCAGGCGAGCGGCTGAACTGCTGACCTCTCGGAGAGAGAGAGAGGCAGGGCTGATCAGCAGTGACAGCAGCTGCTAGCAAGGCCCAGAGAGAGAAGTAGGGTGATCAGACCCTGCTTCTCTCTCCTGGCCTCACTAGCAGCCAAGCCTCTCTCCCAGAGATCAGCAGTTCAGCCCGCTTGCCAGCAGCCTGGGGTGGCTGCTGATCAGCCCCACCTCTATGTTCAGGCCCAGAGATAGACCCAGAGACGCTGACTGGCATAGAAATCGACCAATCAGAACCAAATCTGGGTGAATTGTGAGGAGCCAATGGCTGACTAAGAGATGAAGCTTTTGATGCCGACTGGCATAGAAACTGACCAATCAGAACCTACTCTGGGTGAACTGCAAAGGCAGAACCTAAGGTGGGGGCTGAGGAGGGGTTTTAAGGGCAACAGCTGTTTGGTGTAAGATGTAAGAAAGTGATTCAATTTTTAAATGAACAGTTTTGCAGTATAGTGCATATGGCTAGCTATCAGTCCAGATATAGGGATTATGTGTTTTTATCTGCCAAGAGCATCTCCTCCTGCTGAAAAAAGGCTTCACCTTCCATTTAAGCAATTCTATTCTTTATAATATATCTATATTGCTAATTAGACTGGTTCTACCGGCCATCTTCCAGATGTCTGACTTCCTTCCGGACAAAGCCATGGTAGTGGGGGCTGAGGCAGAGGCAGTAAGGGGCAATCAGGCAGGCAGAGAGGTTAGGTGTGATCAGGCCACCAGGGGGGCAAGGTAGGGGTGATCAGGCTGGCATGCAGAGGGGTTAGGAATGATGAGGCAGGCAGGCAAAAAGGTTGGGGGCAATCAGGCTGGCAGGGGGACAAGTTAAGGGTGATCAGGCTGGCAGTTAGAGGGGTTAATGGTGATTAGGCAGACAGGCAGGCGAGTGGTTAGGAGCCAGTCATCCTGGATTGTGAGAGGGATGTCCCAGACTGGAGAGGTTGCAGGCCATGCTGAGGAACTCCCCTCCATTCACAAATTTCATGCACCAGGCCACTAGTGTTCTCATAAACCAGATGCCTACTAGAATACTAAGGCTATTTGAAAATCCACATCCTTGCACACATACAGACTAGAAAATAACTGTTATATCAAAATAACTGACTCTTGATAGAATGGTTTTAAATAGTGTTTGATAATTTGCTTTTCCATATTTTTCCAAAATTTCAACAATTAATACACATTACTTTTATAATTTAAAAAGCAAACAACAATTTTAGAGTTGAAACTTTTTCTGCTTGACCTATGGTTAATCAAAATAATTGAGTGCCCCAAACTTCCTTTCAGTTAATGGTTTTTCTATATTAAAGTCCTAATTTCTGGTGGTTTGTAGGCAGTCACTTAATATTTCTGTAAGGTATAATTGTGTTCTGATTTTTTCTTCAGCTGCATTTGAACAGTGATCTTATTTTATTTTATTTATTTTTTAATCCTCACCCAAGGATATTTCCCCATTGATTTTTAGGGAGAGTGGGAGAGAGAGGGGAAGACAGAGAGAAATATCGATGTGAGAGAAACATACCAAGTGGTTGCCTCCTGCATGAGCCCCGACCAGGGCCAGGACCAGAGAGAGAGGAGCCTACAACCTCGGTACGTGCCTTGTTCGGAATCCAGCCCGGGACCCTTTGGTCTGCAGGCCGACACTCTAACCACTGAGCCAAACCGGCTAGGGTTGAACAGTGATTTTAAACTTTGGATTCCTGGTAGACTCATTTGAGGAGATATTAAAATATAGTGGTCTTGGGCTCCTCAATAAACTGATTAGATCCAAATATAAGCAGGTGGGCCCTGGGCATTGACAGTTTTCAAAGGCTCACAAGGAAATTCTAATGTACAGCCAGGTGGTGAACAGCAACCTGGAGCTACACTGGCATTTATACCAGATTGTGCTAACATTTTCTGCCTGGTAGATAGTTCTGCCCATGAGCAGAGCCCCCTCTCAGTCTCAGAATCAGCCATGGAAGTATTTCTCACATGTCTGAAGGGAAGATTCCCTTGGAGTGCTTGTTAAAAATATTTGGTTGAAGCATCATCCTGTATACGAGAAGGTTGCGGGTCCAATTCCCTTTCAGGGCACATGCCTAGGTTGCAGATCTAATCCCTGGTCAGGGCGCATATGGGAGGCAACTGATAGATATCCTTTTTCCCATTGATGTTTCGCTCTCCCCTATCTTCTCTCTCTCAAAATCAATGAAAAACATATCCTCCAATAAGGATTTTAAAAACACACACAGCGGCCTGAATCCTAACCCACTGACTTCCAGAGGGAGAGACTTGGTAATGTGTATCTTTACTGAGCCCACATGAGGGAAGTATGGGAGCTGAGCTAGAGCCATGGTTCGGTATCAGCCACTCATGGGAATCCCTGGGGAATCTGGGCAAATGCTGTTGTCTAGTACCCTAAGATGTCCCCCAATCTAATGTGGTAGAGCTGGGATACTGCCTGAGCATCAGAAGCTATGAAGGCCCTCCAGATTCTAACACACAGTCATGGTTGACAACCACAGGCAGTGAAGATTCTCAGACTGGGATGCTGGGACCAGTCTGAGAATCAGCATCACCGGGGGCCCATTAGAAATGATCACTATGGTCCACATATAAGAGAGAGCATGTGCTGTCTGCCTTTTTCTGACTAATTTCACTTAGCATTATACCCTCAAAATTTATCCATGTTGTCACAAATGAAATATTTTATTTTTCTTTTATGGCCCAGTAGTATTCCAATGTTTCTATCTACAAACAAGAAAAAACAAAAACCAACTCATAGATACAGAGACCACGTCTGTAGTTACCAGAAGAGAAGAGGGTTGGGGGTGAGCCAAAGGTGGGAAGGGATCAATCAATTATATGGCGATGGGTAGTGATTAAAATTTTGGAAGTGATAGCTTTGTAATGTATATACCTGAAACTTAAATAATAATTAAAAATGTTCTTTATGGAGCCTCAGCAGCCCTGATAAATTAGAAACTGGGGATGGGACACAGAAGCCTGGGCCTTAGTAACCCTCTCGGATTCCTGTTACACATTGAAGTTTAAGAACCACTGTGACAGGGTGGGGCTGTGAAAAGCAGATTCTCAGACTTGTTCACCCCGAACTCAGTGGTCTGGACTGAGCTGGGAATGGACTCTCGGTGGATGCCCTCAGGTTTATCCTCGTTCCGTTAGGCATTCAAATTTATAAGGGCCTTGACATCTTTCAAGTATAACCAGTGTCCTAATGTCTGTGGGCAGCCTGTTGCTGCCATTCCTAGGCCCTTGGATGACAAAACATGTGACTGTCTTCCACCTATAATTAGTGGGATGTGTTTTCTTTAAAGTTGACAAGTACTCTAGTGGGGGACTATTTTTCAAAAGTTCTGTACCACATTTGACTTGGATCACTAGTCACAGAAGCAGTGTGTGTGTCCTCCCTTGGTGTAACTTCTGTGCCTCTTATTTTATAGGTTTTCTCACCAACCCAGGCTGGTGTGGTCCTCTCAGCATCAAAGTGGTCACAACCATGCCTACTGGAGAAGAGGACAGGAAGTCGGTGGCCTGCTGGCTCCTAGAGACCGAGAAGACCTGCAGGTCAGAGGAGTGGCCCAAGCCCAAAGTCTGCCCATCCACATGTGAGAGGGTTCGTGGGAAGTTGGAGGAAAGACAGAGAATGTGATGAAGAAGGTGATTTGGGAAGAAAAGCTGAGAATGGGAGGCCCTGACAAGTGGCAGAATATAAGCCTGGAAAGCTGGAACCAGACAAGGAAATTAGGAAGACAGATGTCTGATGGTGATGGGGAGAAACTGTTTCCCATTCTGTACCCATTCATGCGAGGAGAACAGGTGTTGAATTCTCAAAGTAAAGGGAAATCCCAGTCATTGCCTAGAGTTCTCTCCCCTAAGAGCCTAAGTTGCATGGAAATTCCGATAAGTGACGGGTATTTACCAGATGTTTCTAGAATGCCATTTTACCCAGATTGTGCACCAAATTTGGAACCCACAAGGAACCCTGAGAAGGGTGGCTCCTCTGCCCCCTTACTTTGGCCAAAATTTGGGAGACCCCTCAAGCCTCCCTCCTATGACTCCCACCAACACTCCAGGGTGGGAGTGGAAAACAGCGACCATCTGGACAGCCAACAGGCAGACCTGAGTGTTTCCTACAGGCAGGAGGTGGGCCTGTCTGACTCTGGTTTGGAGCCTCCACTGTACGTGCCTCCGCCATCATATAAGTCACCACCCCAACACATCACAAACCCCTATGGGGAGGATGTGGCCCCGAGGCATGTGTACGATGGTCGCCATCATCCAATTGTGGAAGCTGCTGCCAGTTTTCAGTTTCCTTCAGGTTCCCTTGGGACTGGAAATGAGTTCTTAAAACAGCCCCATCCCATCACTGCTTACGACAGCTCTGTTCAGTATATTCCCTTTGATGACCCACGGATCCGACATATCAAAGTGGCCCAACCCCAGGGTTTCTGTGACAAAACAAAGGTGAATGAGAAATTGTACAACCCTGGCCTAGTCTCTGCCCCAGAGCCAGCTCATAGAAGCATGCATCATGATGGTGCCATTTTAAACCCACAGAGCATCATGCCCGCATCAGAGAGAAAGAAGGGCCCTGCCCTTGCCGATCCCAGCCCTCCGTGGCTATGGGGCCAGCTCCCCAGGGATGGAGAAAATGGTGGCTTTCCTGACCAGAGAGACCATTGTGTTATGAGAGGACAGTGGCCTGACGTGAGAGGCAGCCAACATGGACAAGCAGAAAGCCAAGCCTCCTCCCCAAACCCACAGGGCGAGAGTACCTGTGAAACCCAAACCATGCTCAAAAAGTTTGAAACTGGGATTAAGACCAAGAAAAGTTCAAAGAAAAAAATGAACGAGACGATATTTTGTTTGGTTTCTATCCCAGTGAAATCAGAATCACATCTGCCAGATATAGATACGAACAACAATGACTTAAAACAGAGTGCTGATAAGAAACATGGGCTTGATAAGAGCCCAGCTCTGCAAGAACAAAGTCTGCTGAGCATGTCTTCCACAGACCTGGAGCTGCAAGCTCTCACAGGAAGCATGGCTGGGAGACCAGAGTTTGAAAAACAAGATCTGGGGGAACCAGAAGAAGACAAACAAACAGATGACCTCAGATTCATTCACCCCATGAAACACAGAGTACTCCAGTATTCTGGCTCATGGCCAGGGCACCAGTACAAAGATCAGCAAACACAAACCACTTTCACGGAAGAATCCAAAAGCCCGCTTCTCCTCCCTGCTAAGTCAGGAGGGCCACCTGATGCAGTGCTGGCTCCAAATTTTCTGGACCCTCCTGCCTCCGAAGCTCAGATGCACATGGCATTAGCTTCCAGTGACCAGAACCAGAAGCCAAATGTTCATCATCTAAAAGGTCAAGTGTCCCTCAACCCATCTAGCTACAGTGCTTTTTCAAGGACTTCCTTACTCATAAACCAGGCCCCTCTGCCAAAAGTGGGCCAGGGTCAGCCCTGCATGGATGACCATGGACGTGGACCCAGTCCTGTGCCCAGAGGCGAGGTGGTGAAGGGAGCAACCACAGGTCCATGCAATAATCAACAGCTGTTTGGTCAATTTCTTTTAAAGCCAGTTAACCGTCGTCCGTGGGATTTGATAAGTCAGTTAGAAAGTTTTAATAAGGAGCTTCAGGAAGAGGAACAGAGCAGTCAGAGCAGCAGTGGCAGTGAGAGCAGTGAGACAGGATGGCAGCCAGAAGGCTGCATACTCAGGAATCTGGGCTTCAGTAGAGAGAGCCAGGAAAGGAGAGGGAAGGAACCGCCAAGGGGGGTGGTGCCAGAGGAGCCTCTGTTTAGGTCGGGAAGAGTTAAGAGTAAGTCTGAGAGTTGGAGTGAGGAGCAGAAGCCTGCCACCTGCCACCAGGGTGCTCGTCCTCAGTGCTTGGGCCCCTGGCAGGTGGAGGACAGCAGAGGTGAAGCATTGTTGTCAACACAGGCAAGTTTGATTACAGAGAGGAGAAACCAAGAGGTCGGGAAAAGAATAAAGGAGCTAGCAGTCAGCCCGAGTCCTGTGAAAAGAATAACATCTTCTAGGTCACGTGACACTGTGGCCTCATCTGTTCCAGCTAAACTGAGAGAGCCCCAGGGTGGGCAGGAGCTCTCCAGCGCTTTAAAGTCTGTGGAGCCCAGCCAAGCAGCCCCTCCCACGCCTGGTGGTGGGGAGGAGAGGAGAACGGTGGGCCCCCTCTCTCTTGCCAGCAAACCTTTCGGACTCTCGGTACCAGACTTGAGGTCTGTGGGTCTGACGCCAGCACAAGAGTGGAGTGCCAGTAAGTTAGATGGGTCTTCAGATGACAAGAGTGCAATAGAAATCCCCCCAAATGAGTCCCTTCAAACAAGGGCTGCGAGGATACTGGGCATCGAGGTGGCTGTGGAGTCCCTGTTGCCGGGCGCCAGGAGAACAGGACATAACCAGCCCTCTGAGCCTGATGGCAGTGCTCGAAGTTTGGTGTCCCCGAGGGAGGAACCAGTGTCCAGTCCAGCACTGCCGGATGAGCCCACAGTTTCCAATGATGCCTTTTATGGCAGGAGAAAGTGTGGCTGGACCAAAAGCCCTCTGTTCGTAGGGGAAAGGGACAGTGCCCCGCAGGCTCCAAGGACTTCTGAACACTCTGGTGTGGACAGGGTTGTCCCCAGCAAGGCCACTGACTCAGAGTCTCAGCCCAGTGACCTGGAGTCCTTCAATCACAAGGGCATGAAGACAGAACCACCCTTCAGGTCCACTTTGTTCCATTTTATAGAAAGGGCTCCAAGTGTGGCAGGCTCAGAAAAGAGGCTCCGAAGTACTTCCAAAGTGATTGAAAGTTTACAAGAGAAACTGGCTTCCCCCCCCAGGCGAGCCGACCCTGACCGCTTGATGAGGATGAAAGAGGTGAGCTCCATGTCTCGGATGAGGCGCCTGAGCTCCCGGAGCACTGACTCCGTGGAGGATGCTGAGGAACTGAAGGCTGAGAGGGGCCCAGGAGCTCAGCCAAGAGGCCTGGTGACTCTGACCACTGGGGACCTGGCCCGGAAGGTGGGACATGCATTTTCTGTCTCCAAGGGCACACTCTCACTGGAAGAAAATGGGCATCTGGCACCAGGAAGAGAGAAGAACTTGGATCGGGACTTCTGGTGCCCTGGTGAGGAGTCAGGCAAGTGGCGGGTGTTTGTTTTTTAATTCTCACAGGAGGATGTGTTTAGAGAGGAAGGGAGAGAGAAACAATGATGTGGGAGAGAAACACCGATGGAGGCGTCGCTTGGTTGCCTCTATACACGCCCTGACCAGAGATAGAACCTGCAATCCTTTTGATGCACAGGCTGATATTCCACCCAACTGAGTCACCCAGACAGAGCAGGTATTCAGTATTAATTTTGTATCCTCAGAGCATGAAAAACAGGTTGATGGATAATGAAAATTTTCATATTCAGAAAAGATCAAATTGACCCTGCAAATTATTATACCAGAAGATGTTTCATTTTACAAAATATTATATAGAAGTTTCCTGAAAAATCAAGATCTTGTAGTGTATTTTAAATGATTGTCTTTATAGAAATTACATAAACTACTATATCAAATTATTCATATAAATAACATATTGGGCCCCTTACTGTGATGAGGTGAGTGAATAAAGTATTCTAACTTTGGTGCAGACACCTTGAAAAATCTTGTAAGAGACCATAGCATTTGTGCTCTATACTCTCTCTTAAAATAATAGTCATTTACCCAAATAATCCTCATTGCTCTTTATTAACATTATAAGAAAAGATATACAGGTTGATTAAATAAACTACTGCCCCACATTTCACTTTCTAAATTCCTTGCCCTTCTTGCCATTTTTATCTGTTTTCACTACCACGCCATTTAAGAAACATTAGTTCACATAAATTAACAGTTTTCACTTTCTCAACACCCAACCCTAAAAGTCCACTCATTAACTCTGTTTCTTTAAAGGCCCCTAAGTTCTGATTTTGAAATCCCAGGTGACTCGGTTTGGGCAACAGCATCCTGCAGGCGTCTGGGCCTCTCCATCCTTTCACCTTAAGGTGTCTTTAGAGCCTTCTCTGTTTCATAAAGCCAGGGCAGGTCCCCAATGACAGTATCAGTGATTTTCCTCAAACACAATTTCATCATCTCAACTCTGACACAAATAGTGCAGGAGAACCCTTGGCAATTCTATTTCAGACACTTTTTCAGGGGCTGGGGGTTATCAATTATGTATTTTAAAATGATCAGACGAGTTGAGGTATCATAGTTATCCAAAGGTCTACAGCAAAGACCATAGACTGGGGGAAACTTAACTCATTAGTTCAGACTTTTTCACAGTAAGCTGAAACTGTGCCCCCTGATATAACTGTTACCCCACTACCCTAGGATTCTAGTTTGACCTCTTGAGCCAGGTCCCTCCTCCTTCCAGTTTGCCCCAGTGGGGTGGTTCCCCACCCTGCTTCTCTGTTTTCTGTTTTGAAATCCCAGGATGTATTTATTTGCTTATTTATTTTTCCATAAGGAGAGATGTCATCTAAATATCTCTCTTTTCAGAGTTCAAAATGTCAATATTTCTTTCA